ACGCCTGCCACGCCAAAAGAGCCGCGGCGCCCAGCGTCACACCTAAAACCAAACGCGCCACCAAAGCCGGCCCAGTGCCATAAGTGCCGCGCCTGCCACGCAAAGTGAAGGTGGATTCCTCCCACACGGAGACCAAGTTACCCAAGGACAAAACCACTCCGTGCCATGCCAACGTGTCAGAGAGATGTCTTCCAAGGTGCCACTCCTGCCATCCAAAATATCCTCGGCGCCCTCTTCACACGTCAGCAAAAAACCCAACCCATAGCCGCGCCACCAAAGCCGGCCCAGTGCCATAAGTGCCACGCCTGCCACGCAAAGTGAAGGTGGATGTCACCAAGTACCACGCCTGCCACGCAAAGTGAAAATAGATGTCGCCAAGTGCCACGCCTGCCACGCCAAAAGAGCCGCGGCGCCCAGCGTCACACCTAAAACCAAGCGCGCCACCAAAGCCGGCCCAGTGCCATAAGTGCCACGCCTGCCACGCAAAGTGAAGCTGGATGTCATCAAGTACCACGCCTGCCACGCAAAGTGAAAATAGATGTCGCCAAGTGCCACGCCTGCCACGCCAAAAGAGCCGCGGCGCCCAGCGTCACACAAAGTGAAGGTGGATGTCACCAAGTACCACGCCTGGCACGCAAAGTGAAGATAGATGTCGCCAAGTGCCACGCCTGCCACGCCAAAAGAGCTGCGGCGCCCAGCGCCACGCCTAAAACCAAGCGCGCCACCAAAGTGCCACGCCTGCCACGCCAAAAGAGCCGCGGCGCCCAGCGTCACACCTAAAACCAAGCGCGCAACCAAAGCCGGCCCAGTGCCATAAGTGCCACGCCTGCCACACAAAGTGAAGGTGGATGTCTCCAAGTGCCACGCCTGCCACGCAAAGTGAAGGTCCATGTCCTGAAAGTGCCACGCCTGCCACGCCTGCCACACAAAGTTGTGTCTGTGAGGGCAAGTTGTGTGTGGGCAAGTTGTGTGATGAAAAGATGTGTGAATGACAAGATGTGTGAGGCAAGTTGTGTGTGAGGACAAGTTGTGTGATGACAAGATGTGTGTGAGCAAGTTGTGTGATGACAAGATGTGTGAACAAACTGTGTGAGATGTGTGAAGACAAGGTGTGCGTGAGTTGTGTCTGTGAGGGCAAGTTGTGTGTGGACAAGTTGTGTGAGGACAAGTTGTGTGATGACAAGATGTGTGTGAGCAAGTTGTGTGATGACAAGATGTGTGAACAAACTGTGTGAGATGTGTGAAGACAAGGTGTGCGTGAGTTGTGTCTGTGAGGGCAAGTTGTGTGTGGACAAGTTGTGTGAGGACAAGTTGTGTGATGACAAGATGTGTGTGAGCAAGTTGTGTGATGACAAGATGTGTGATGACAAGATGTGTGAGGACAAGTTGTGTGTGAGCAAGTTGTGTGGACAAGTTGATGACAAGATGTGTGAAGACAAGTTGTGCGTGAGCAAGTGGTGTGAGGACAAGTTGTGTGTGGACAAGTTGTGTGTGGAAGGTGTGGAGGCAGACGACGGGAGGCAGACGGCGGGATACAGAACCAAAAGCAAGAACCCCACACAAAGATGTGGGGAACGGAACAATGTTTTTTTTTTGTTTTTTGGGCTGGGGGATGGTGATTCAAACCACTTTTCAAATAGAAGATAATCTGAATGTTCTTTTGTTAATAGAAGATATTCGAGGAGTACTTAAAAACACTTTTCTAATAGAAGATAATATTTCATGAGGGAATCCAGAGAGTTCCACCAAATTGTTTTCAAATAGAAGATATTCGTTTGCAACCCGATGAGTTCTTCAGATCCCAAATGCATGGAAATCAGTTTTCAAATAGAAGATATTGCAAGGATCATCCAAATGTTGAGGGGTTATTGTTGTTTTTTTGGTTTTTTGAGCTACTTTTGCACTTTGCAACCCTCAACACTGGGATGATCTTTGCAATATCTTCTATTTGAAAATTGTTTTTCATGCGTTTGGGATCTGTCGAACTCATGGGGTTACAAAGGAATATCTTCTATTTGAAAACACTTTGGTGGAACTCCCTGGATTCCTTCATGAAATATTATCTTCTATTTGAAAAGTGTTTTTCAGTACTCCTCGAATATGTATTTGAAAAGTGGTTTGAATCACCATCCCCAATCAAAAAAGCAAAAAAACCCAGGGTTTTTGAACAGTTTTTCACCGACCCCTCCCCCGAAGGCGGGAGTGCAAAAGTACCTCCGGCCGGGTCCCACTTCGGGAGGTACTTTTGCACTCCCTCTTCAGGGGGTAGATGGTCCAGAGCGCCTGTTTCAGCAGAGATGATCAAATTAAGAAGAAGCGAGTGACTGTGTCGCACTGGCATTGGCTGCACTGGCAAAGAACTATGTCCCTCACCTCGATCAACTATACACCCACCTATGCCCCAATGCACCTATCAAGACACTTATCAACACATCTACCAACCCACCCGCAACTTATTGGCGCACCCTGCAACACACCCATCGCACTTGCCTATCGCACAGAAAAAATCGTTGAACACATTGAACTTCAAGACTAATTGTGGTCCATGGTTGGAATGGCAGCCTTCTTTTGTGCCATGCATGGATATTCATGGTTTCCTTTGCTTGCCCAATCGTCTTTAAAATAAAACGTGCGCTCTGGGCCTTGATTTCCCAAACATAGGACAGAAAACTTGATTCCGAATCCGATTGGGCAAGTTCCAGCTAGGCTTGCGCCAAAACTCAAAAGAAACAAAAATTTACAGCAGCTACAGCCATACAGCATGATACATGCAGCTATCCATCAATTCAAGCTCACCTCACATGCAAAAGGGTGGACTTGCAAAACACCAAAAACCAACATGACAAACCGTTACAAACAAACGACAGAAAATGCACAAACAAACAAAACAACAAAAGTAACAAAGTCCAACCTTCAAAAGCACCTTAAACAATGAATGCATATTTTTGTCAATCTGTCTTAATGTCCAACATTTGGTTGAATCTCGTGTTCTTTTTTTCCCCGTTCCTTTTTTTCGGAACATTATCAAAAAAACAGTCGATGATTTGCATGCTTTTTTCCCTGTTCCGGGCTTGGATTTAGCCGGCATAGCCGTTGATTTGCTTGCTAAAGTTTGAGCACGTATCAGCCACAGACTTGGGCGTGTCACCTTTATCGCTTTGTTTCATTTTGATTGTGATGTGATTTTCTCATCTTGTGCTGTCATCTTTCGAACATTTTAGAACCATTTTCATTTGTTTCATGTCAAACTTGCGGATGGTCAGCCAGCGCCTTAGTGTGAACACTTCTGCAGGTCCTTGTGCCCAAGGGCTCAGCGGTGCATCAAAGACCAAGGAAAATAAAGAGAGAGAAAGTGGAAACATGAAGTCCAACGGAGAAATATGGAAACAAACTGAATCCCAAAGGGGGGACCACATAAAAACCGGAATCCCACGTCACATGAAACAAACATGAAAAAAGGAAAAGAAAGGAACAACATGCGGCAAAATAAAAGTGGGACGCCAAAAAAAACAAAACATACCTTGGAAAAATTGTTTTGTAGGGTCCATGGAAAACAAGCTGGGCACCATGAATTTAGGTATATTCCGCCGGGGACTAAGACTTAGGACCTAGGACTCGCGACCCAGGATGTGGACATCTAAGAATCTAATCCAACATTAATTTTGAATGCTGAAAGCAACTGTTCATGTTTGGAGAGCTGTGGCAGCCCGCGCAGGAATTTCACTGGATTTTTCATCCCCCGCACCCTTTGCAAACACCTGCAATCAAAAACAAGGAGCGTCCCAAAGTCCCAACCAAGAGACAAGAAACGCCCAACAGGAGAAAATGATGATTGATGATAATATGTGGCGTGGGAGATGACAACAAATGAAAACCACATGTAAGATCTTATGAAAACCGGCCCAAGTGGGAATAACATGAGCACAAGCAGATTGCAATTTCCAGAACTTGGCTGGGAAAAAATATGTTTGAAGCCCCGGGGATGAAACTCACAGCTAACAGCCAGGATGCACCCGTGTGTAGTTTGATTGTCCTTCTTCTTTCTCACAAACAGTGCTTGAGGAAAAACGGTAGCAGAATTTCAACATACTGCGGCCTCTTGCCCTTGCTGGCGCCCAGATTTCCAAACAATCACTTTTCAGAATTCAATATTTCTCAATAACCACTTGTCAAAATAAAATGAACATAATGAGCATATAGTGATGAAAAATGCCAGAAACATGTATCGCAAGAAGACGTTAAACAATGAAAACCACACAAAAACCGTTTGGCAACTTCCCCATACCCAGGCTGCAGCAAACCTTGCAAAATCAAAACCTGCAACACTAGTGAAACACTGTTGCCCTGATCTAGAACATCGCACCATTACAACCCCTACGTTGTATACGTTGCACCCCGCACACTTGCACCATTGTACCCCCTACGTCGTGCCATTGTGCCATCTACATTTCGGCACTGCCCTACATCGTACTATGGCACCGTGCCATTGGACTGCCTACACCGTGCCATTGTACCCTCTACTCGTACCATTGTACCCTCTACATCGTACCACTGTACCCCCTATATCGTACCATTGTACCCCTTACATCGTACCATCGCGCCCCATTTATCGTACCATTGCACCTCCTTTATCGTGAAATTGCACCTGCTACATGGTACCATTGCGCCCGCTACATCGTACCATTGCACCCCTATACATCGTACCATTGTACCCCCTACGTCGCACCATTGTACCTCTCGTACTGCACTTCTTGTACCTGGTGTACCTGCGCCACCGTACCACTGCGCTGTCTTCACTGCACCATCGCACCTGCACTTCGCACCCCCGTACCTGCGCTTTATACCCCTTGAAAATCATCATCGCACCTGCCTCCAGGCTACCTCTCAGAACGGTGCTTTTGAAATTTGTTTTATAGGGGCTGGGGCAACGGCATTCCCAATTCTATTTTGCTCCGAAAGCCACATGCTTTCCATGCGCAGAAGGGGCACACTCACCGCAGGCAATTTGAGTTGCACTGAGTGCCAAGAGGGCCTAACCTGCCCCGTGATGGGCACGTTGGCAAGTCACTTGCGCCTGCATTCTGGACCACTACTTACTTTAGATTGAAAAAGAGTCATTTGACCGAAGGAAGTTTAGAAGTCAAACTTCCGACAATATGGACAGATGAAAAGCAGAGTAGAGCAGAGGCAGAAAGAAGAGAAAGATTAGAAGAGAGAAGAGTAGAAGAGAAAGAGTCAGAAGAAAGAAGATGCAGATGCGCGAAAAGGTAGGAAAGTGTCGCGAAACACTGTGTTTTTCCAATGATTTGTGGCTCCGGAGGGTCGAAAAGTAGGCTCGCTAAAGCGGTGGGTACGGAGCCAGCTGGCCAGATGAGAGATGAAAAATTGCACGCCGTTGTGGCGCGAAGCACATTTCCAAAACAAAATGTACAAAACACCAGGTCCGGACCACTTTTGGAAGTTGCGATGTCGAAAAAATGCACGCCGTTGTGGCGCGAAGCACATTTCGAAGTCAAAATGTACAAAACACACCAGGTCCGGACCACTTTTGGAAGTTGAGATGTCGAAAAAGTGCACGCCGTTGTGGCGCGAAGCATATTTCGAAGTCAAAATGTTAAAAGCACCAGGGGTTCGGACCACTTTTGGAGGTTCAGATGTCGAAAAAGTGCACGCCGTTGTGGCGCGAAGCACATTTCGAAATCAATGTTGCAAACACCAGGGGTTCGCACCACTTTTGGAGGTTCAGATGTCGCTTCGCGTGGCAGGCGCAAGGGATTGTGCACCTTGTCAAAAGTGAGCATAACGTGAGGGTTCTGTAGCATTTTCAATTACAACCACCATTACACCACACTACACTCCAATACATTCACTACACTACAACTACAACTACACGTTCACTACATTCTACTACACTACACCCCACTACACTACACTGCACTCAATTACACTCAACTACATTCAATTACACTACACTACACTACACTACATTACACTACACTACATTACACTCCACTACACTACCTTCCACTACACTTCACTACATTACACTACACTACACTCCACAACACTACAGCTACAACTACACAACTACACTCCACTACACCCCACTACACTCCACTACACTAAATTACACTCCACTACACTAAATTACACTACACTACATTACACTATACTACACTCCACTACACTACATTACACTACACGATACTACCTTCCACTACACTACATTGCATTACACTACGCTACACTCCACTACACTACACGACACTACCTTCCACTACACTTCACTACATTACACTACACATCACTACACTACACTCCACAACACTACAACTACAACTACGCAACTACACTCCACTACACTCCACTACACTAAATTACACTACACTACACTACACTCCGCTCCACTACACTACACTACACTACATTACACTACACTACACTATATACACTACACGACCTTCCACTACACTTCACTACATTACACTACATTACACTACGCTACACTCCGCTACACTACAACTACAGCTACAACTACAACTACACTCCACTACATTAAATTACATTACACTACTACGTTACACTACATTACACTACATTCCACTACACTCCACTACACTGCACTACATTACATTACACTACATTACACTGAATGACACTGCACCACAGATAGACAGGTAGACAGATAGACAGATAGACAGATAGATAGATAGACAGATAGACAGGTAGACAGCTAGACAGATAGACAGATGAAAGAGAGAGAGAGAGGGAGAGATAGAGAGAGAGAGAGATAGATAGATAGGTAGATAGATAGATAGATTGATTGATAGGGAGATAGAGAGATAAATAGCTAGAAAACTAGACAGCTAGATAGACAGGTAGATAGGTAGATAGATAGGGAGATAGATAGACAGACAGACAGATAGATAGGTAGACAGATAGATCAGTAGGTAGGTAGGTAGATAATCAGAGAAAGATAGAGAAACAGAGAGAAAAAGAGAGAAAGAGAGAGAAAGAGAGGAGACCTCAAGCACCTTTCAGTCCATCAGTGGCTTCGCTCTGCCATCCCTGATTCACAACAACCAACCTCTCCTATAGGTTTCCTATTTTTGAAACTCCCGCCACCCTTGTGCTGTACTACTGGTATTTGTACTGATCCAAAAGAGAATGTGGGGGAGAGCTGTGATGGTATGCATGTTGTCACGTCCACTGGTGCCAGGATCCCAGCTGTTTTTTTTCAAACTGGTCACCAAGGTTTGAAGAATGGAGCTCATCCCTTGGGCACCAACTACTTGCCTGCAGTTGCCAAGGGCTACTTTGTGACAGAGCTGAAACCTCTGGAGGTGGTCGGGCATGGATCGGTGGTAAAAATATAGTAATTCCAATTTCAAAACTTCCGAGATTGGTGGGTCTTGGCAGGGTGGAGAGTGGTTGGGAGTGGTTGGGAGGAGTGGAGAGGGTGACCATACTATGAGTGGCGGCTATCGGGATCATAAATTTCAAACAATCAGAATGACCAAATATGGTCCAAGAATATTAGATGTATTAAGGAGCTTGGGGTGCCAATGGAGTTGCACGCAGGTACATGTTGGAAGGGCGAGCCCAGCCTAGTGTAGGGGGGATGTGTTGCAAGTTGCGGGTCGCTATAGTTTATTTTTGCTAGCTTTGGAGGCCAGCGGTTTTGTGGAGAAACTCGAGTTGCGGGTCAATGGGATTGTGATCGCAGTGACCCAAATCTCAACCCCAGTTCACTTAGTTGCACAATTTCACATTTTTTCAACCTTAATTACCTCAACCACAGATTACGTCAACCTCCAAGTACCTCAACCTCCCATGTTCTCAACGTCACACTACCTCAATCTCACATTACCTCAACCTGACGTGCATTCAACTTCAAATTCCCTCAACCTCACAGCTGTCTCCAACTTCACATTCAACATCTCGCTGCCACAGCCTCACGCGCATTCCTTCACACTCCCAACATCATATTCAGTCTTGAGCTCCACAAGCCCGAGAATAGGCCTGCTAGCTGGCCGCAGACCTGCTTTGGCTGAGGGCGGGCTTCCGTCCCCTCCCATCTCAGGTTCTTTACTGGCTCGCACTGCATTAATTAAGAAAAATTGGGGGGATCAGGTTTGTAGAGAGCACGGGATGTGATTCTATTATGCTTTCCGAACGGAGGACCTTTATTCCTGCGTGCTAAGCCGACCCCGCCCACAAATGCCCACGAGTGGCTGAGCAATGGGTGCGCCAGGTCTACCGCTGCGGACACATCTCTTCATGTCCTGGTGGGTTGCCCGCGCAGTGCAACAGTGGCTTGATCGGCGTCCCGTGCGGTGAATGCCCCGAAGGTGGGCTTGATGATGGGCTGGGTACGGGGCCAAACAGAGATCCAAGCAGTGGCTGCATTTGTCAAAACCCTTCAATGATCATAGTGATCGTCATGAGTCAAGCTACTTGGTGTTTTTTGTATTTAATCACGTTTAATTAATGATGTGGCAGCGTTGGGGCACCCAAGTTTGAATTCCGTCCTTGGATGGAATTGAGCACGCGGGCATTGCCAACGTTCGCTGTCGAAATTCAAGCTGGTATACAACCTACTATTCACCTCCCCTCCGCTAAGAACTAAATAATTTGGATTCATTTGGTACTTACTGTGAGTGAGTAGTCATTGCTTTAAAGCTTTTACGACCTAATTGTATGTCCACATAATCCACATATCCATGCGGTTCGTTTTTTTTTTGCCCACCACACTCACTTGCAGGTTTCAACATGAGCGATGGAAAGTGCGAGCAATGCGACGACTCCTTGGTGGTGCTGTGGGCATGGGGCTCAGTGTTGTGTGCCCTGCGAAAATCTAGAACTCTTGAGATTCAGTGGATGGACCTACTTTCTTGCTGCATCCCCCGTGGATTGTTGGTGCTTATTGAACAATTATATTCTTGTGTTTTGCTTGCAAGCTGGTCCAGAGAATTCCACCCTACAGTACCACGCTACAGTATTGTGCGTCTGAACTTACTGTATCTACTTTTGGTGGGACTCACCAGGCGCTTGGTACGGTATTCGTCTTCCTCTTCCTGACAGCTTCGTACTACCTAATGACCTCAAAAGTGACAGCAAAAGCATCTGTGCTGTTCACCACCACCTGCGCCTTTGGCATGCTCATTTCCTTGCTGCAGAGCATCGGCATTATTGGCACCATGACGGTCGAGTTTCCGGTGAACATCTCCTCCTTCTTCGGTTGGTTCTCCATCCTGCTGCTGGATCTGGACAACTTCGGCTTCGCATGCCTTGCGGGAAGCGCAACCGCGCTCCGTTACTCTGCGAGTGTTTTGTTCTTTCCCGCTGGAATTGCTTGGTACATGCTGAACTATGGAGCCCCTTGGCATTGCAAACGGGCCCTGTATTGAGTTGAGCTTGTTTCAGGCATTTTCAGATCGTACCCTGCCAAAGTGGATCAAGCGCAACGATTTTCTGGGTAGTCCTTGGCCATTTCCCAACCTCTGCCTTTCCCTTCAAATGTATATTCCGTTAATCGATGCATACATACTGATTTACTTTCCGTACGTTATAGGAAGTTATATGTTTTATTTATATATATATATAGACACACACGACCTGCGTTCATTCACAAACCATTGGGTTTGCAACAGAAGTCGAGGGCCACGCAATTCCCAATGAGCACCCTTGGTTCTGCTGGAAGACAACGAGCCAAGGTGAGCCAGCTCGTGCCGAAGCATCGTTGGGACGCGACCAAGGTTGCAAGCTGCATGGGGCAGTTCTTGCAGGTTCGCTTTGTTCAGATGCCTTTTGATCATTCGTGGGGCGGCTAGGAACATGACCTTGTTGTGGCCTCGTGAGCCACCAACATTTATGGCACGAAAATGTGCGGATGATGATGAATGAACAGAATGGCAAAAGCAGATTCGGGAGAACAAGGGTCAGTCTGATACCGGCTATTTGACACTGATGATATCAAGAAGTAGATCTTGGCAGTGTTGAGGGTGGTCAGTCCGGATTCTAGATTGCAAAATATTTGTAAACTTGATTCGGCAGCGATTCTGATTCTGAAATAGGAAGAAGTTTTTTCGACTTTGATCATGAAAACAATGGCTGCGACGGGCTGCACAGCTGTGGAGGACAGGGATGGGGATGCTGAGGCTGAGAAAAATGAGAAAGATATGGATCAGGATGAGTACCAAGATGAGAAAGACAGGGAGCATAATGGTGATTGTGGCGACGATACTGATGAACAAGTGACCGGGATGACCAGGATGATGATGATGATGATGATGATGGTGGTGGTGAGGAGGAGGAGGATGCTTGTGATGGTGGTGCTTTGACGATGATGAAGATGATGATGACAATGACGAGGAGGAGGAGGAGGAGGAGGAGGAGGAGGAGGAGGACGGGGGCGGCGGCGGCGGCGAGGATGAGGATGAGGATGAGGATGAGGATGAGGATGAGGATGAGGATGAGGATGAGGATGAGGATGGGTGTGGTGATGGTGATGGTGATGGTGATGGTGATGGGTGGTGGTGGTGATGTTGCTGGTGGTGGGTGGTGGGGGAGGAGGTGGTGCTGGTGCTGATGCTGGTGCTGATGCTGGTGCTGATGCTGGTGCTGATGCTGGTGCTGGTGCTGGTGCTGCTGCTGGTGGTGGTGGTGGTGGTGGTGGTGGGCAATTTTGGCCAAGACATGTTGACAAAAACAAACATGACAACAATGGTGGCAACGCTGATAGTGATGGCGATCAATGATAGGAATGAAAAGAACCAACCGGGCACAAATATGAGTGCACCGTAACCCTGTTCGATGGGGAATAGATCATGCCGTGAGTTTGTGGACTCTAGTGCCACCACGGCGTTGTTTCAAGTTTAAAGTTAGTCTTGTTTTGCACTGTGAGAGGTGGGCTTCTCCACGATGAGTGCTACCGCGCTTATTCCCTTGACGTGCTACACACATCCCAACAACCAACAGAGTCTCTTGAAGTACCCCAATGTGATCTGTGGGACAGACGTGCACGGAGCGATGCTCGCGATTGGTGTTGCCTTACTCATCGTGGGTGTTTTTGGTTTCCTGAGTCTTTGTAGCTATGCGGCTTACATGGTTCCAACTTGGAGTGCTCGAGAACAACACGGCCGCGTCCGCGCTTTCCGTTTCTTGGTCTTCCGCTTCAGGTTGGCTCAAGCCATTTTGGCTCAAGCCATTTTGGCTCAAGGTTGGCTCAAGGTTCCGTAGTTCCCCTGTACCTGTTCTTTCAGGTTTCTACGGCACCATGGCTTGGGCTGCGTGGCTGCGGACGGCATCACCTTTGCCGCACGTAGTGCCACGTCCGGGTCGTTTGCGTGTTCGATTCTGCACTAGAGCTGGAGCTAACGTTTGCCTGGGGTTCGTTTCCCCTTCAAGTTGGACTGGACCGGATTTGGGTACTGCGAAAGGGAGGTATGGTGGCTCCTGCCGGGCAACTTTTCATTGGTTGCTGGCCCTTCGGCTCGCCCGGCTCTACCTTGGTCGTTAGAGTTCGCCTGAGGTTCATTTCCTCTTCAAGTTGGACTGGCAGCACATTGGGGTTCGTTTCCCCTTCAGTTCTGGAACATGTGTTACTCACAAGGGAGGTGTTTTTCCCCAAGCACCGGCCACTGCGGGGATCTCAGTGGATTGTTCATGGCTTCGGCCTTCTGCGCTTTGCAGCTTTGGTTAGTCCTAGCAGGGGGGGCTACTTTTTCCTGTACAAGACGAACTGAGAGTTTGGCTTGACGACCACCAGTGTCCAGGCTTCTTAGCTTTCTTTTGGTTCCGGACTCGTTTCCGGCCCTCACCAGGTGTGGGGAATGTGTCACATGTTTGCAAACTTGCATATCATACGTGTATAGCTTTAGGTCTTGGACCCCGACGAGGCCTGTTTTGCTTCTCACCTGCCTCCACTCCAAGAGTTAGGGTGATGGCAGACAATGATGCGCTTCAGGTTGGCTGAAGGCCCTGATAACGTGTCAGCCCAAGCTTTGGATTCCATGCCACCTGAAGGTTGGGTTAGGTTTACCCAGATGCTCAATCGTTTTGAGGCTATCCAAAGTTGGCCTTCTGCGGTCAAGCATTGGAAAGTCACTTTCCTGCCCAAATCGTCCTCTCCGGATGTCGATAAGTTTCGGCCCCTCAGTATCGGTTCGATCGTTTATAGGATCTGGGCTCGCTGCCGTGTTCAGGACTATGGTCGGTTGGTTGACCCTCATTTAGGAAAGTTCCAGGCTGGTCATAACTGTGATTGTGAGGTTCTTCACTTATCCATGGAGAGTGAATACCCTGGCGCGGAATATGGCTTTGGTTTAGGCCTTGATTATACTAAGGCTTTTGACTCCACTAACGCTTCTCTTGCTGCTGCACTTTTCGCCCGCATTGGCGTCCCGCCTCAGGTCTTAGGGCTGTTGAAAGACCAGTGGTTGGGTCAAAAGCGATGGGTCAGTTTCGCTGGGAGTGTTTCGCCCGAGTGCTTAGGAGAGGTTCCTTCGCTCCCTCAGGGTGATCCTTGGAGTCCCCTTGCTCTGTCCTTAGTGCTTGCTGCCCCTACCAAAAGGGTCCAAAGACTTTACCCCCAAGTTGCCTGCATGGTTTACCTTGATGATCGCACGCTTCTTGCTCCTGATGTCCAGACTCTTCATGAGGTTTATAATGAATGGGAAATTCTTAGCACTGTGACTAGGCTCCGCACTAACCCCAGCAAGACCCAATGCTGGGCTCGGAACCCCAGTGTCGTAAGATGGTTCGAGGCCCACCATCCTGGTTTCCCTGTTGTCCCTGCGGCGGAAATTTTGGGGTATATTGTCGGGTTACATCCGGAAGACCACCCCAAAAAGGCTGCTCGCGTAACTAAGAATGAGACTACGGCTGCGCGAATTTCCCTCCTCCCTGCGGGACAGAAGCTCAAACAGTTGGTCACTACGGCGCTACTTACTAGTGCCGCGGCTTGGGGGCAAAGCCTGATTGCTTGGGATTTGGATAAAGCTGCTAAAGCCCACCTGGCTAATTGGCGCCTTGCTGTGTTTGGACCTCGCCCTCCTTCCTCTGAGAGAGCTAGCCCTTATTTGAAACAATTTTTCATTTTGGGTCATAGTTCCGATCTCCGTTTTGTTGTTTTTACCCGCTTCATTATGACTTTAGCCCGGTGGTATCACTGGAGGTCCCCTAGTCAGGAGGTCAGACAGGCGGTGGCTGAACAGATGCAGCATATCGTCCATCAGGTGAATAATGGTTTGGCAGAGTGGGGGTGGCGCCCTACGTCCTGGGGTCGTTGGGCTTCCACGGCGGACCACACCTTTTCCATTTTTTCCAATAAGAATGAACGAGCTAAGGCCAAACATCAGCTGCGTCAAAGCTGGCGTAAGACCCTGCTCCTAAGGTGGTTGCAGACGGATCGAAGGGATGCTGACATTGGTCGTCATATCAACTTGCAGGATCAGATTGATGACTCTTTTGTTGATCAGCTTAGGAAAATTTTTAAAAGGTGCACTGACTCGCACGTGCAGGCGGTGATGATGGGTGGCATGAGAACGGCCGCTAGCACGCGGTGGGCAGGGAATTTTGAAGAAGTTACGGAAGCCGGTGACATGGTGTGCCTTGATTGCCATCAGGAAAATCACCCTACCGTTGACCATATTCTTTGGCAGCGCCCTGCTTTTTCTAGTCTCCGGCGATTGCCGGCTCCGACGTGTCCTTTTGTGCGGCGTTTGGGGTGGGGGCCTAGTGTTCCTATTGAGGAATCGGTCAAGCTTCTAGCTCAAATGGGCAAGATACGCGAAGCCGAGGTCATTAGCCGCATGGCTCGAGTTCGCTTGCAAAACCGGATTCATCAAATCAGAGGGGGTGGTGATACCTACTCTTGGACAACTAAGGTTCTCTACCAAGCTAAGGTCCTTGCGCCTGTAGTGATGCTCCTGGGATGCTGCGATGGTGCTGCTGGCGCTGCAGAAGCTTGGCAGCTGGCGGCAGCTGGCGGTGGCGGCTCCTTGCGCTGGCGCCAATTTGACAACTCGGAAGGGCAAAGTAGTCGGAGTGCACGTATGTTTGATGTCAAAAGAAATACAAAAGCCTTGTGGTGGTGGCCTCTTTGTCTCCTGTTGGTTTCTCATTGCACGGGATATGAACAAAATGGCAAACAAGAAGGCCAAAAAAACGAAAGAAGAGCCAAGAAAATTGACCAGTGTGGTCGTTCAATTGTTTGGCGCCCGTCTAGGGTTCGTTTGCAGCTTAGTGCATGTTCTGCATGTCTTTTTGGTCCTGAAAGGGCCGGTACTCTTTTTAGCTTTGCTTGGTGGTACAAGACTGTTCGAAAAGCCTTGGGGTGGCCTCTTCGCCAACTGTTGCTTCGTCCTGTACTTTCCTGTGATGACAATGGCAAAACAAGAAGGCCAAAAAAAGAAAGAAGAAAAGAACATGTGAGTGTGGAAATCCCACTCTATGTCAAGCTCCCCGTGTGGGAGATGCTTCAGATCAGTGAATTCGTTTCTCAGAATTCGGTTGACAATGAATTCGTTTGGGATCTCTGGGTCCTTTATTTATTTCAGTTTCTTTGCGCTTGGGCACTTGCTGTGCGCAGCCAGGCATGTACAGTTGCTGGTCCCCTTTGCAGCTGGCCTCGTCGATTTCGCCACTTGTATGTGACTAGCCACCGTTCCGGAGGCTACCCGGGTCCCTGCGCGACCGTGCCGCGCCATGGCTAGCGCTGTTTTTATCTGCCCCTAACCCTGTGTCAGGTTGCGGCAGCCAATGATACGCTTCAGGTTGGACAGCTGGTGGTTTGGAGTTCCTCTGTTGACCAGAGGACCGCTGATCGCCCTGCCCATCGTGCTTGCTACCGATTACCCAGCAGTGCAGACCGTGTGGGTGACGTTCATTTTGCTGTGCTTTTTGGCGTGTCAGGCATTGGCATGGCCATGGAAGGCGCGCCTGACCAAAGATGGGAAGGAAACAAGGATGCTTCAGGAATGCTTGAGGATGCCTCAAGTCAGTCTGCCACACGCTTTTGTAGGTTTGTAAGCATTTCTTGGATATTATTGGATAATATAGATGGCAGATAAGATACAATACGTATTGTTACGTATCATTGATTCAAGTGACAAAATTAATACGTACACTCAAAAAATCTAAAACAAAGGTATACGATATTTGATATATGTGCATATGAGTAACACACAAAATTATTGTAATACTGATTTAGTCTTGCTTCGCCTTGGCCTTTCTGAGGTTGCACAAAACCTTCATAACCGATAGGGCAGGGACGACCCTATACCGATACCCCATTTGTGATACTTCCGGGAGTACTGAAATCCTCACAACCGATAGGGGGCGACCCTAATTTGTGTATGGCATTAAATTTAGCAAAGGCTTTTGCCCGCTAGTCATATATGTGCGTGATGTAACAAACTGTCATTTGCACAGGGTAATTTTGTGCCTTTGAGCTCCACCAAATCCAGGTGCCGCTGTTGAATGCTTTGGATTGCTGGATGTCCTATTGCATCATGATTTTGGTGGCCGCTTCAGCTCTGTACTTGGAGCCCATCAACAAAGAAGGCTTGGAATCAGCAGCAGGCTGTTTTTGGGTGTGATGCACTAGTTGAGGTTTCAGCGTTCGTTTATGGCCAGTTGAGCGTGACAACTTCAGATGTTGAGCATGACATCGCACGAATTGTTGGATGACCACTTCTGGAAGAAAACCGCTATGAAAATTGTGGTAAGTATGTTCTCTGCTTTGCCCCCTCTGACAGGAAAAAACAGCCCAAATCATCCCAAAACTATTTGGGTAAATCTGTGGTGTGTCGACTTTGTACTTGAATTGCTCCTACCAGTGGAGCAGGGAAGTGGCGGAAACTATTTCCCAAGTTGTCCATATCAAAGAAATCTGCAAACTCGCGGTTAGAAAGGCAACAATTAACCCAAAGCACCAGTTCGACATCAAGTCCACAAACATGAACATAAATCACAACAGCTAGCTTCTGCTAGCTGAAGTCCCTCTTGCTTTAGCAAGGTATTGGTGGGGCTGGAATCTCCAATCGCATGAAACTTCATAGTGCACTCCCCCCACTCCCTCCTTGGCTGGTTCACAAGCAGTTTGGCCGTGGCTCAATATGCCTGGAGACGCGGTGGGGGTGTCACCACCGGCAGCAAAATCGGCAGCATCTGCATCCTCAGCATCATTGGCGTCGTCAACGCATGCTTCAAGTCACTGGTGCAGCGTCGCTCACGATCGGCATGTTCATGGCTAGCCTTAAATTGTAGCTTCATTTTCATCGTGCACCTTCACATGTAGTTTCCAGTTTGTTCTCAAATATACCGGGTGTTTTCAAGCCACGCTCCCTGCCAGCCAAGCTGGCTTGCGTCACTTACCCCTGGGCCTCAAGTCTCAGGAAGAGTGAATAACTTGAACGCATAATCTTGTGGGTCTTGTTGAAAGGACGGTTGAATGAAAACTTGAAACTTCCGAGTTACTAGCCAGATAACCAGCCAAGTCACCAAACAACAGAGCCAAGTATTGGGGTACAGATAGGCAATTAATGAGTAAAAGAGAAGAATACGGCGGCGCAGTTAGGTCGAACCAAGAGCAATCTACAAGTACACTAGGCTCTAGTGCTCACTAGAGTTAACCCAAGTGCTGAAAACGGTGAAGGAGAGACAAAGAAATGTTGCGCAAAACGGCCGTGTTTTTCAATCAAAGTTTTTTGGTGGATTTGTTGGCATTAGTTCCACTGAAGCTGCTTTGCCCTGCGGGCATAGCTATGTGTGGTTAATTTTAGGTTGCCACTGCATGCGCAGTGACATTGTGTTTTGCGATCTCAGGGTTTCCTGCGCAATGTCATAGTTTCTTGTATGTGTTAGTTTGTGACTGCTGTAGGCACTTGCACTGAGCAAACTGCTTGAAGATCTTGAAGGGTCAGCGTCCTGAAGTCTGGGCTAGTTCATAGACAAAATTTTCACGAGTGAAATTTTTGGCTGAACTGGCTTTTCAAAGCTGGACCTGCGTAATGTTGCCTGTAAACGTTCATCAACAATATCGATGTCAGTTTTTCAAGCTATGAGTATGCTAATGAACAAAACACATTCAATCAAGCCTCCAAACTGTCAGAGGGTGGGTGGACAACGGTAACAAACCCATCAATAGAACAATGACAGAAGCAAGTCCGAAAACAACGCCATCAGTTAGAGAACAGGCCAAGCAATGATAGCAATTGGACCAACTAACGAGCCAGTTCTTGGAGATCTTAAAGCAACCAACAAACCAAGTAACGAAGCACGCCTCAAATTTCTGGGCCTACGGAACAACCAACCAATCCTGCCCTTTCAGACTGGAGAGAAAACAACATGCCCCCTCCCAATTCTTCTGATCTCATGCTTTCGAATTTGAAGGCACTTGACCAAATCTGGAGCCAAAACAGGGATTTCATGGGGTGGGCTGCCAAATGCTGTGGCTCGTAGGAGTTGTGGCAGATTTTGTGGACAATTTCAACACCGGCATCATGGTGCGCAGTGGGACGGAAGGGTTCATGAGAATGTTGTCGGTTCATGAGAACTGTAGGGTGCGTTTGATGACGTAGAAAGAATTCCGACGTCCAAAGACTTATTTGTGCTGTCTATTGCGTTGGGATTTGTCCACTGCAGCTATTCTAGGGCAAACAGCATCAGGAAGGTAAATAGGCGACATGAAACATGCCAAAAAGCCTGGTTATTCCGCCAGCGCATTGAAAGTGTGCCTCTTGAAATCATTGTAGATTCTAACTGGTCAGAGGCAGGCATTCCAATGCAAAATACCTTGCTGAGAGCCAAACATGCACACACGCGCACACACACACACACTTGCTCAGAACAGTCATTGCGAATTTTGATGTGGAATGCATCTTACGTGCAAAAACACTCCAATTATACCTGGCAGGAATGGGTCGATGAAAGGACCTGAGAGAAATTCAAAAAGCTACCATCGCCATGGGCCATAGCCATTACTAGATGCAAAGAGTTGGAAGCTGACCGTTCCCTTCCAACTAAGCCAAATCGTTCCCACCTTGACAGATTGCGAAAACCGTGCAACACGAGAAAATTGAAAACAAGTTGTTTGGAAACGTCATGGTGGTTCTTGGGTTAGCCACGTCCCATCGCAGAAAATTGTCATGAAAATGAAGCAGGTACGTCGATGAGCGTCCTCATCGATATCACAGGCAACTGATGAGTGTCTTTGTTAGTGCCGGTCTCATCAGCCCCCCCGGCACCCCCTGCTTGAAATTATATGAAAGAATGCCGACAAAAATCAGGGCTAGAAGTTTAACATCTTTTCTCGTGCCAGAAGTAAAATGAAGAAGGAACAGGTAAAATCGGAAGTAGAAGTTTTACATCTTTTCAGATGGTTCACACACACGCCCTGCTGACGCAGGGCTTTTTTGACAAATGGACAGGTTAGTCACGCTCTGATACGGTCAACTGGTAACGGATTATGTAATCAAAAAACCAGTGACAAGAGTTAATTACCAACCCAACGCAGGAGTTAACGTTCAGCTTGCGCCCGATCTAGTCGGAGATCTCCGAGATGTCATCCAGTTCAGGCTTCTGAGCATGCTGGGCAAGAGTCTGCGAAGTGAAAGACAAATGACTGTCAACGTGGGCCAGGTCAATTGCCGAGAAAAGCTGGATGGGATTGGCATTTGGATCTGTGGGAGGAGTTTCGAGCTTCTCAAGGATCGGTGCATTATATTCCCTGTCAGACAGGAGAATATTGTGAAGCAGAGATGCCAATTGGTGGATCTGACTTGGAATCGGCACATTGCCTGGTGTCGTCTTCCATTTCGGATTCTGGCTCTTCCCCATAGGTTCCAGCGGTGTTGTCCGCACTGTCATACGATCGGTGGCGATCTTGCCACGATGGGGTCCACGAGGTATCTTCATCATGTACTTCGGGAATGTTGTAATGACGATGCCAGTAATTGGCGAGGCGGATGGCCTCGGACCAGCTGTTGATGCGTCCACCATTGTAGGAGCGGACATGACCAACAATTTCATTGAAGAAGAACTAAGTTGACGGTTGCGTTCAACTCCATACTGATCTACTTCTGTCACCATCAAGACGACTGCCTTGGCCTGACTGGGGAGGCGGAATGACTTCTTTGAAGATGTGAGTGTGGAGCACCCGGTGGTTCTGTGACAGCTCCGATTGTAACGGATATGCTTCCATTGGAGGGCCTGGTGGATTGACAGGTGGTAGAGGTACTGGAGGGACCAGGGCAGTATAGCCAAATTGATGGGCTTCGACTGTCGTTCCTGGTTCAGCAGGTCGTTGAGGGGGGACCGTTTCGTATGCCCAGGACAACACTGCATTTGACGATGAAGAAGCAGCATTTGAAGAAGCAGCGCCGCTTCCATGTTGGGCAGAGTGACGGCGTGGGAAGCTCATTAGATTGCGGGGGGATTCTAAATCGGCAAATGAGGAATCCCGTTTAGTCATGATCCAGGCTTAAGCCAAATTGAGACGAACAAAGACAAAAGGACATGAAGGAAAAAAGCATGAGATCAAAAGAAAAAGAAATTGAAACAAGAAGAGGCGCACAGCAAGGCGGTCATTTTTCACGACAATGAGTCACGGCAGCATGTTAGGGTTAGGAAGGGCCTTATGGCAACTCATGCGCATAATGTACGGTTGACTTGGGTTGTCGAATTCTTTGATCGTATTAAGGATTCTTACTTCTTGGCCTTCAGTCCAATGAGGACGGTGTTCACGTAACAGATCAATGAGGATTTGATGATTTCGAAGCGCAAAGGTATCTCCTGTACAGTCAGACCAGCGAAGATCCCTAGAGGAAGGTTCCAAGTAGAAGCCCCAGGTGTTGTTGATATGCTGACTGATGTAGTAGAGGATGGTGTCAACAGTGAGGAACTGAGTCTGGGCTGGGGTTACCAAGAAGCTGTATGTGAACAGTGCGTACTGTTCAAGTCTGCCAAGTGAAGGCAAAGCGTCACAGGTGGCCTGCATGACATCACTTTGACGTTCAGACATAAGATATTGGACCTGTTCTAGGTCGATGATGACCAAAACCCGTCTAGTGTGACGGAGTAATGGGGTGTAGTTCCACGATTCGTGATGACGTGGCTTGCGAGGTCTGTCTGGAGTCGGGTGGCTCCACATGGGCGGATCATCCCGAGAACGGGAACGATCAGGGGGTATAGATACGTAACTAGCTGGGTGAGCCATAATGACTTGACATAGACAAACCAGTGAGGGGAAAAAACGAAAAAGTGAAAGAAAAGGAAGACACGGACAACATGAATGATAAGAACTGATCAACGGATCCAAGTAGCAGCGAGACGAAGCTGCATCTTTTTTCCCGCAGTCGTTTAGTCCTCTGCCTCCGGTTCGTGCCGAGGCGTTTCCGTGCCGTGTTGGTCGGACATTTGCTTCAAGATGTTCCAGCGGATTTTGCATATCTGTGGATCACGTCGTAATCTGGCACCGATCGACTTCCACGACGGGCGTGATTTACTGTCATTTTTGAGATTGATCAATTCTTGGTCTTCAGCTCCTGTTCAAGGTCGGATACTCGAATGAGGGGTGCCCCGATCAGATTCTGTGGGTTGAAGGATTCGAATGGTAGGGTTGAGCGGAGGGCCTTTTGGAATGGCGATTAAAGTTAAATTTCCTGGAGTTGGTGAGATTGGGCGGTCAGCTGGTGTGGTGGAAGAGATGGATGTTGGGGCGGCATCCACTGCTGACCTAGTATGAACTGAGTGGACTCTGGAAACCACTTCTTCATCTGAATCATCTGAATTGAAGCCTTCATGAGGAACATCGGTAATAACCGGTAAAGAGATGGGTCGGGATGCCGACGCATGTACCATAATGTCTCCCGAGCGTTGTTTCTTCTTCGGTTGTGGATCATCAGGGTGGTTGGATCGTTGTTTTGATCGAACGGGTACAGCAGTTGTTGTCCGGGTCGCCACACGAGGAGTGTCAGGGTCCGGTAAACGTGGACCTGGAGCTGGTGGGGGGCTAGATTCGGAGACCGGATTGCGGAGTGCTGGGGCAATGGCTGGGTGAACTTCTTCGTCACGTGGACGGCTTGAAATTGAAAGAGGACGAAGATTTGGTTCAGGGTTCAAAATCATGTGGGTGGGAATGCCCCCATGGGATGCCAATGTTGGTACTGAGGATGAGGATGGCAGAGGAACAAATGTGTGAAGGTTTCGTTGGGCTGGATTTGATCGCCCGGTACGGGTATAGGGTTCGCCCATTGGGTCATCCCATTCAATTGCCGGTTCAAAAAAGGGAAGAAATCCCGCAAGGCAGTTCAAGTGCATGATGGCACGAGCGAGATGATGATGAAATTCACGGCTTTGGGTGTGGTCCATGATGAAACGGAACAGGCAGCGAAGGAAAGCGGAGAAGCGAGTTTGAGCCAGACTAAAAGAAGAAGAAACGAGGAAATTAGAACAACAAACTTCAAAAACCAAAGCAGCAAAGAGAAACATCCGTACACCGTAGACATCAGACCGTTTTTGCTCATGCGTCTGAAGGTTCTGATGCTGAATCAAAATCTGAGATGAAATGGTGTGGAGTTCCTCATTGGGAAAACCAGCCAAAGTATACAAGTGAATTAATTGGCCGAGCCCTTGTCGAACACGAAAGTCGGGAAATGCTCCTTTGACTTTGACAACGATGTGGCAACGAGAACGAAATCCGCTGAGAAGTACTTTGGGTGGAGAGGCCGAGAACGGAGACAAGACTTGTGATACGTTGGTGGGGCCTTGATAGATCAGTCCCAATGGTTTTGTTTCCAACATGAAACCGAGGAATTCCTGATCTGGTTCGGTTTCCAGGATGATGGGTTTTCCATAGAAGCCTTCATCCAGCAGTACTTCATATGGTGGAAGATCTCGAAGTCGCGAATCACCAAAGATGAATAAGTGGTGATTGCAAAGAATTTGATTGAAGTTGATGGACCAGATTTGTTCGCTGATGGAGACAACCATGAGGCAGAGTGCTGGAGGTAGTGGACGGCTGCCCATGGGGCTGCCTCTACACTGTCGAATGCATTTTTGGTTCAGAGCAAACGTCTGCATGTTCAACGCTGACTTGAGTAAATCAGGGACATCTTTGATGATGATCTTCCTGGTGACGTTGAGTCTACGGAAGGTGCGGCCCTTGATGATGTCGCCTGGATTGTTAGTCTTTCCTGGATAAACCGAGAATACTTCGTTGTCAGAAACATCCATGTGGGGTCAGTGGGGTCTCAGGAAATCCAAGAGCATGAACCATGCACCGATGAAGCGATCTTGATCAATGCTGGTGAAGAAACCAGCAAGGTCTTGATTGACAAGAATGAGATCTGCGTCAACGGGTGCTGATTTGAGGATGGATAGGAGCGTGTATACATCCCCGGAAGCAAAGTGATTTGGACATGCCACTGGGAGCAGTTGAAAGATCATTCTGGCGAGGATGTTGAGCATAGGACGAAACGGGGAGTCCACAAAGGAGATGGTGGGT